CGCAGGATGGATCAGATCTGCGGATTGAGCATAATGGATCGGAGTCTGGTCCATTATGCTCCCCAATCCTCAGATCCGATCCATCCTGCGGGGATCGTTGGCTTGCTTTACAACTTACCTTTTCGTGGAGCGGGTCCGGTGTCACCCAGTGCGGTGAGCACCCCCCGCACCTGCCTAGGGACGCCCCTGGATTGGAGCACTGCTTTCTCTCTTTTTCAATTTCATTCTTTCTCTATTTATCTTTCTCTTTTCTTCTCTTTCACTCATTCTTTTTCTCTGCCCCTTTCTTTGTCTCTGGTTAGGGGGTGTGAACTGCTTGCCTTGCCCCGGGCACTGACAAACAACGCCACGCCACTGCCTAATATTCCATCCAGGCTCCATGGTACACAAATGGCGCACTCCTATAGATGTGGCATTATTCAACTTTAGTCAGAGCACAGTTTGTTTCTATCTACAGACACCACTTATCTGCATAGGTAGGTTTTTGGTAAAGGTGAGCTGACCACTGTTCAGCTACTGTACATTAGCCCATGGGGTCTCCCAGCACTCGGACTGAGCGCTCACCCACAGCTCCCACTTACTGTGTGCGATCTTTTCACTGGCTCCTGATCATGTGATCACTGCCGCAGCCAATCACAGGGATCACATGCTGGGAGAGGCAGCTGGACGGATTTAATAACACTTTATTATAACCAACATCAGCATTGCAGCCAGGCAACGAGCATTTGTATGAGAAAAACAGCAGTTGTAGCTCCATATTCCTCTCCACACAGGACATAAATCTGTGGTGATGAGAGCTGCTGGTTATGTAATATGTTCTCACACAGCCCTGTGCCATGACTATTGTAATGCGTGTCCTCATTCATCACGTCACAGTCCACCTGACACCACATCCATGTCCTCTGGATGTTTCCCCCCGTACCCTTCTGCCCGGAGTGCCCCCTGAACCATCTCCTCTGCCCCCCCTTCTCCCTGGTGTGCCCCCTGCACCCTCTCCTCTGCCCCCCCTTCTCCCTGGTGTGCCCCCGGTACCCTCTCCTCTGCCCCCTTCTCCCCGGAGTGCCTCCTGTACCCTCTCCTCTGCCCCCTTCTCCCCGGAGTGCCCCCTGTACCCTCTCCTCTGCCCCCCTTCTCCCCAGAGTGCCCCATGCACCCTTTCCTCTGCCCCTCTTCTCCCTGGTGTGCCCCCTGCACCCTCTCCTCTGCCCCCCTTCTCCCTGGTGTGCCCCCTGTACCCTCTCCTCTGCCCCCTTCTCCCTGGTGTGCCCCCTGTACCCTCTCCTCTGCCCCCCCTTCTCCCTGGTGTGCCCCCTGTACCCTCTCCTCTGCCCCCCCTTCTCCCTGGTGTGCCCCCTGTACCCTCTCCTCTGCCCCCCTTCTCCCTGTGTGTGCCCCTGCACCCTCTCCTCTGCCCCCCTTCTCCCCAGAGTGCCCCCTGCACCCTTTCCTCTGCCCCTCTTCTCCCCGGCGTGCCCCCTGCACCCTCTCCTCTGCCCCCCTTCTCCCCGGTGTGCCCCCCTGCACCCTCTCCTCTGCCCCCCTTCTCCCCGGTGTGCCCCCTGCACCCTCTCCTCTGCCCCCCTTCTCCCCGTTGTCCCCCCCCATACCCTCTCCTCTGCCCCCCTTCTCCCCGGTGTACCCTCTGCCCCCACTCTCCCCGGTGTACCCCCTATCCTCTGCCCCCCTTCTCCCCGGTGTGCCCCCTCTCCTCTGCCCCCCTGCTCCCCGGTGTGCCCCCTCCTCCTCTTGTTTTTCTCACTCTGGGAGATGAGCGCCCCTTTCTCTGAAGTGGGCTGCACCTTCCCCGAACACAACCAATGGCACGGCGCCATGAGGGCGGTGCCAGCGTGGCATGAAGCGAACACGTTTGCCAGCGGCCAATCACCAGCCTGTGGGCGGGCACCGCACTTCGCAATATATGTACCGGGATAAGTAGCCAGCCGCAAAGCTGAGAATGGGAGCTTGTAAGTGACACCTAGCAACAGAACCGGGAACGCCCACCGAGCCTGGACCGTCATTGTCAGCAACATCCTCATCAGACAGGTAAGCACTCCTACCTCCATCTGCTATATACAATCTGCAGCTGTCATGGACATCAGTGCCTGGTCAGGGTCTATGGAACTACAAGTCTCAGCGTGCCCAGGTGACAGCAGAGGGGTGCAGCACATGTCTGCTATCATTGGCTGCCTGGATGTGGTATAGGAGCCATTCAGTGTGCTCAGAGCTCTGTAGTCTCAGATGCAGCGATCATAGCTGGGGACAGAGGATACAATGTGCACAATGTACTGTCCAGGGGACATTTTGACCTATGGCTGATCACTGATTGCTACAGTAACCAGCATTGTAGAACAATCACCAGGACACATTGGTACTGAGCCAGGGACTTCCATACCCTGAGCCCCCATTACAGAACATCACTCAGGACGTTATTTGTGGGATATTTCATTTTATATTTCTCTGATTTTTGAATGTCCTGAGAGTGATGTGTGATAATAATTCAGGCCAATGTGCCGAAATAGAGGGGTGCCATCAAATGTCCGCTACATTGGAATTTCCACCATTTGTGGAAGGAAATCCGAAACACTTGGAATAGATATCGATAGATGGATAAATAGATGGATCGATTGATGGAACGATAGATAGACAGGTAGATCGCTAGATAGATAGATGGATAAATAGATGGATAGATAGATGGATCAATTGATAGATATATAGACAGATAGATAGACAGATCGCTGGATAGATAGATGGATCGATCGATTGATGGATGGATAGATAGACAGGTAGATCGCTAGATAGATGGATCAATTGATAGATATATAGACAGATAGATAGACAGATCGCTGGATAGATAGATAGATCAATTGATAGATATATAGACAGATAGATAGATCGCTAGATAGATAGATGGATCAATTGATAGATATATAGACAGATAGATAGATCGCTAGATAGATCAATTGATAGATATGTAGACAGATCGCTAGATAGATAGATGGATCGATTGATAGATGGGCTGTTGTATGAATAGGTTCCACTAGGTTCTCATTCACACCAATCCCTCCATCACAGCTGAGCTGAGCTCATTTCAGAAGCATTTTTTTGCATATTTTTGAGGGCTTCGATTTTTCATGTGTATGTAAGATCAGGCATTTTTGTATTGGGAAGGAGAGGAGGACCGTTGTACAGGAGCAAAATCACACATAGGGGTTGATTTACTAAAACTGCAGAGTGCAAATTCTGGTGCAGATCTTCATACAACAGCCATGAACAGCTGCACCAGATGTTGCACTCTCCAGATTTAGTAAATGAACCCCAATGTATTGTACATTTATAGGTGCTTCTCTAAGGTCAAAACACACAATACAGCTTCAAAAAAAAAAAAAAAAAAGCTCCTGTACTTTTTTTGAGCTTCAAGAGACTAAGCGTAAAAATGTGAACAGCCACAATAGAAAAGAATGTGATTCTTGATGCTGAGCATTTTCACGTGTAGGGAAATGTGCCAAAACGCACGGCAAAACGCTCAGGAGTGAAGGGGCTACAACGCGTGTTGCCATAACACATGCCAATGCACCTGTTCTATGTGTGGCGTGTTGTGAGGAAGGGGGGGAGGGGCACCATTGCACTGTACAGCCGAGTGCAGTGCATTCCATGCGTTGTGGTGCGTTGCGTTTTAACAAAGGCTTCTGAACTTTTTTTTTTTCTTTTTGCCCATTGTAGCGCTTTGACAGCCTGTTCATAATTAATTGGCTGTATTAATGTAAAAATATAAATTACCAGAATGCTTTATGTGAATGGGCCCTCAGACAATGACACCTGCTTAGTTCCGCCGCGATATGTTTTCGGCCACCGAGTGACTGACACGGTCCATCTGTTTCTCGTATTATTGCCCTGCACCTGCTTTCTGGTGTTTATCTTTAGTCTGTGTATTTGCATGTTAATCTGATGATACTTGTGATGCTATTTTATTTCGCTGATACATCTAAAACATATTTGTTACAACGTTGCATAAGTGGCCATTTTTATGTACAAAAACCCATAGCAACCAATCACAAACCAGCCGCTGACAGCTGATTGGGGTCAGTGCCCATCAATAGCCTTGTATACATTGTATTGGGTATGGGTGATCCCCCCGGAGTGTCCTGTTTGGGTGGTCCCCTGTATTCTCTGTTATGTAATGCTTATCGTTGTCCCATCGTTGCTTTTTTTTTTTTTTTTTTGCATGGCATGTTGTTTTCCTGCTGTCTCCAGCCTTGATGTATTCTTCTGTTTCCATGGAGTGTAGCTCCCTATGGAAGAGTACAGCTGCCCATACCTCATTCATTTGTATGTGCCTGTGGTGGGGGCAGCCATTTTCAGAAATGTTTTCCTAACTTTGATTTGCAATTCAAAACAAGTCTAGCTGCACAAGCAGAAAGACATTTTTCTATGCATTTTTACCTTCTTTAGTTTTTTGCCTCAATTTTGAGAGGATCTTTTATTAACAAGTAAGAGAATTGTCGTCTTACGGACTCCCTTGTTTGTTGATGCTGGTAGCCAAAACCATAAAGATTGGTTTCATTAGTCCATACTAACTATTTAACCCACAGTGATTCTTCTGGTATCTGGTAAATGTGTGGGCTGAAGGTTAGATTAGTCCACAAAATAGAATCCTCTTCTGTATTCAAGTGACAGGTTCTCTTTAAATGGACTGTTCATATCTGTGGCATAAGCCACATAAGTAGGCCTACAGTTGTGGCCACCCTCTGGTCCCCGGGCATTATAGCAGAAAATGTCTACCACTACAGGGGAATTAGAGTGGCTCCTTCATTTGGAAATTATAAATGTCACATATTTGGCAGAAGGGACGGTGAGCCTCAACCTCATGCATGAAAGTATCTAGGACAGCCATTCTCAACCTTTTTGGCACAGAGGAACACTTGAAATAACTTTCAGGTCTTGTGGAACCTCCAGACAACAATTATTTTGTCCACTAATCAAAGTACATTTCCATTGTGCTCAGTGGGAAGATTGCTGCTTACATTGGTGGTCAGTGGGAAGAATGTCCCTTACGTTGGGTATCAGTGGGAAGGCAGTTCTTTATATCAGGTGTCCATGGGAAGAATGTCCCTTACGTTGGGTATCAGTGGGAAGGCAGTTCTTTTTATCAGTTGTCCATGGGAAGAATTACCCTTACGTTGGGTATCAGTGGAAAGAACATCCCTTAAATTAGGTGTTAGTGGGAAGAATGTCCCTTACATTGGTGGCCATTGGGAAGAATGACCTTAGATTAGGTGTTAGAGGGAAGAATGTCCCCAATATTGGGTGTCAGTGGGAAACATGTCTCTTCCATTAGGCGTCAGTGGGAAGAATGTCCCTTAAATTAGATGTTAGTGGCAAGAATGTCCCTTACATAGGTTGCCATTTGGAAGAATGACCTTAGATTAGGTGTTAGAGGGAAGAATGTCCCTAATATTGTGTGTCAGTGGGAAACATGTCCCTTCCATTAGGTATCAGTAGGAAGAATATTCCTTACATTGGTGGTCAGTGGGAAAAAAGTCCTTACATTGGGTGTCAATGGGAAAAATGCTCCCTACATCGGTGGCCATTGGGAATAATATTCCTTACATTAGAGGTCAGTGGGAAAAATGCCCTTTACATTGGTGGTCAGTGGGAAGAATGTCCTTATATTGAGTTTCAGAGGGAAGAATGTCCCTTACATTGGGTTTCAGTGAGAAGAATGCTCCTTACCTTGGGTTTCAGTGGGAAGAATGTCCCTTACATTGGTGGTCAGTCATAAGAATGTTTTTACATTGGTGGTCAGTGGGAAGAATGTTCCTTACATTAGGTGTCAGTAGGAAAAAATGCTGCTAACATTGGGAGTCAGTGGGAAGAATGTTCCTTGCATTGAGAGTCAGTGGGAAGAATGTTCCTTGCATTTGAGTGTCAGTGGGAAGAATGTTCCTTTCATTTGGAGTCAGTGGGAAGAATGTTCCTTCCATTGATTGTCAGTGGGAAGAATGCTCTTTACATTGGGTGTCAGTGGGAAGAATGTCCCTTACTTAGGTGTCTGTGAATAAAATGTAAAGAATGTTGCTTACATTGGTGGTCAGTATGAAGGATTCGCTGTACATTGGGTGTCAGTGGGAAGAATTCTCCTTACATTGGTACTCAGTGGGGGGGAATGCCCTCTTTACAGATAGCTAAAAAAAAATACTTGAAGTCAGCGGTAACTTATCTGAGAGGCAGAAATTGTTCATTGCTCAAAGGATCCCTAGAAACCTCTGGAGGAACCCTAGTTGAGAACGGCTGGTATAGAAAAGGAAAGGTGTATGTGCTGCCTATAGCAACCATCAAAGTCTCCACGCCATGTCTTCAGTACGCTTTAGGAATATAATAGGAATAATCTGGTTACTATAGACAATACAATACAAAACGGTTCTGTCAGAATTGCTTGCAGGAGTCATGTATTGCACATCAAAACTCGAGTTCCCAAACTTGGCGTTCATGAAGCAATTGGGAGAGCATGGTATCACAGCAGGCAGAAGAAAATATGTTGCCAGCACACTTCATTTGTTTTGCAATAAAAGCACCTTTATTGACAATCGTTCAGCATGTCATACGGGAAACGTCCAGATATGGAATCGGCCAATCAGTCGTGTATATATCTTCATCACCGAATCTGGAGTCCCCGAGCGTGGAGTGCATGAAGCAATTGGTGGAAGGTATCACAGCAGGAAGAAGAAAATCTGTTTCCAGCACAGCTCAGCACTCTTTTGTATAACAAGTGGAACAATTGTTAATAAAGGTGGTTTATTGTGGTGTGCTGCCAACATATTTTCTTCCTTGTCCTGCAGAGGTGACTCACAAGTGATTCATGAAAATTAAGACTAAGGAAATATAATTCCGCCATTCAAGATTTACATTACCTTCAGTAAACAAAAGGAATCTGGCCAATTTCCATGGATAACACCCCAACATTTCTTTGCTCCATTATTTATTTATATTTTTTTTTAACAAAAATTGGGTTTAACCGCCTCCCCTCAGCCCTGTAGCAGAAGTACTGCTACTGGGTGGCAGGGCTGCGCAAAATCACGTGTATATATATATACGTGATTTTGTATTTCTGGGTATTTTCTATTGGCGGCTACAGCTGTCGATCACTGATTCCCGGCCGGAGATTCCCTGCCGGCACACGGTGATCACCGAGGAACATGGACAGGGGAGAGGTCTGTATGTAAACAATACAGATATCTCCCTTGTCAGCAGCAGCATGCTGCTTTGTATTGCTCTGCATAGCAGAGCAATACAAAGCAGGATGCTTACATAGTAAAGCACACATAGTAAAACAGCACACAGTTAACCATTTGATTGCCCCAGATGTTAACCCCTTCCTGAAGAGTGTCATTAGTACAGTGTCAGTGCTTTTTATTAGCACTGATCACTGTATTAGTGTCACTGGGATGTCAGTGGCAGTTAGTCAGTTCCCACCCAGTGTCAGAATACCCACCGCAGTCCCGCTATAAGTCGCTGATCGCAGTCCTTACTATGAAAAAAAAAAATTCTAATATATATACCGCCACTTGTAGACGCTACAACTTTCATGTAAACCAATTAATTTACACGTATTGGGATTTTTTTTTAGCAAAAACGTAGCAGAATACATTTTGGCCTAAATTTATGATGAAATTTGATTTTTTTTTTTTTAAATGTTTTTGACTGGATGTTTTTATAGCAAAAAATCAAAAATAGTGTTTTGTTTTTTTTCAAAATTGTCGGGGTTTTTTTGTTTATAGTGCAAAAAATAAAAACTGCAGAGGCGATCAAATACCACCAAAAGAAAGCTCCATTTGTGGGTAAAAAAGGACATACATTTCATTTATGTACAATGTTGCATGACCGCACAATTGTCAGTTAAAGTAACGCAGCGCTGTATCGCAAAAAAATGGCCTGGTCAGGAAGGGGGTCAAATCCTCTGGAGGGCAAGTGGTTAATTAAAAATTGTATAAAAAATGTAATGTTTTCACGGGTAGCAGCTCCATTTTGGATTAAGTTGACTCCGAATCTGATTACGTCTCCCGTCATTCAATCTTCTTACTATGCCAAATGCATCGCAGTGTTGTTGCTGGTTTTATCTATGTAATAAAAAGAGCTGCCACACTATCGGCGATCTCTATCAGATTGTGGAGGAAAGCTGGAGCTCTAATTAATTCCACATTGCTTGTTCTGCTCCTTCCCACTGGAAAGCCCTACATTGTTCCTACAGAATCAAGGCTACTCAGCTTGTCAGACTGTTAGAATACTAATACTTCCCTTCCACCAGCATTAACTACTTGTCTGCTTTTCTTTTCTGTGCAGTGTCTTATTAACCTGCAGCCATGGCACTGTCAGCCAGCTCAAAGCTATGCAAGGACGTGAAGAAGACATACATGGAGCTGCCACAAGGAGATAAAGTCCAGGCTATGTATATATGGATAGATGGTACAGGAGAAGGTGTACGATGCAAGACTCGAACACTGGACAGCGAACCCAAGTCTGTTGAAGGTATGCATTCTACCTATTCTGCTTTCTGCACCTCAATGCATAGCACCTCTACAGTCCAAATCTGGTACTACAACATGGATTGTCAACATGTACCTGTCATTGCCTGCTCAAGAGTGACAACAATTTTGTGGGCTTGGCCAGATTTGCAGAGAATGGAATTTGTGGATTCCACATAATATAAGTGATATGATTGTAGTAGATCTGTTACTAGTTTTCGGTAAACTGATAAACACTTAGTTTTGTTCACATTTTCTGCATTGAGCTGTGTTGATCTTTATAGATAAATACAGATTCAACACAAGGGTGCGTAGAAAGCAGTTTTCTGTGTGCCCTGTTTACACAACAATGCTGCGTTGATGTGGGTTGTGATGCATTTTGTGATGAAGTTAAAAAAGGTAAACAGTGCCTTGCATTATAACAACACAAAAGGCCGCCCCTACACAAAAAACACCAACCTGTACAGGTAAGCCAGCCATAGATTATTATTATTATACAGTATTTATATAGCGCCAAAGGGTATGCTCAGCGCTGTACAGTAGCAAGGGGGACAGAACATGAGACGAGACAGTAACAATACACTACACGAGGGGTTCGAGGGCCCTGCTCTTTCGAGCTTACAATCTAGGAGGGAGGGATGAATTGAATCTCAGTTGGTTCAGCAGGGGTCAGCTGAGATTCGACTAATCTTTGGGCAGGGTGGTTGTACTGAAGTTAATCCATGAATCGACTTCAGTACAAGCAGCCTGTTTTTTTTTTTTTTTTTTTGCTTTCAATCACTGCAGCAGCCAGCAGTGATCATTGTGTTCTGCCGGCAGGGAAGGCTCCCTCTGTCCAATCAGACACCTGGATCTGCACCACCTGACTTCCTCTCTTTCCACAAAGCTGAGGAACAGAGCTGCCAGTCCAGGGGCAGCAGGAGGGGGAGGAGGACGGGGATGGGGAGAGAGATCTGTGCATGAGGGCTCAGAAGACACGGCCACTTCTCGTGTTAGTGCATGAGTATAAATATGTAGGCTGTCAATCAAAGGAAAGGGAGCGTTGCGAAACCATTTTACAGCCTGTGATGGTTTTGTTCAATGAGGGATAAAGAGAAAGATAGCAGAAAAGTGCCTGGTCCTTTTCCAGGCAGATTGGGGGTGGATGCATTGTCCTGCTGTGCAGATTACGGTAATATGATTATCTAAATTTACATTTTTGGGTTTTACAACCACTTGAAATCCCCTTTCTTCCCCATTCTGATGCTCAGTTTGAAATGCAGCAAGTCTTCTTCACTACATCTAGATGCCTAAATGCATTGAATTGCTGCCATGTGATTGGCTGATTAGAAATTTGTGTTACCAAGCAATTGGACAGGTGTACCTAATACATTGGCTGGTGAGTGTATACACAAGCATAAACCATAGCCATAAAATACTGATGTAAACATATTACATAACTGTTTTTTAGCAAATAATCAGATTTTAAGTGTGTAAATGTTTCCTTGGCTCTCATTATTTGCAGATTTACCAGAATGGAACTTTGATGGCTCTAGTACCTATCAGTCTGAGGGATCAAACAGTGACATGTTTCTGATCCCGGTGGCCATGTTTAGAGATCCTTTCCGGAAAGACCCCAACAAACTGGTGTTGTGCGAAGTGCTGAAATACAATAGAAAAATTGCAGGTAAGCTCAGTATTTCTTCCTTTGAATAAATTCTCACACAGATTGTTTCAGACACTTAACTCAGGAATGACTCTGATGCATGGATTATATATGTTACTCTAAAGGGCATTTATATTAATATTATACATGATTGTACATAATGCCAATAGTTTGCACATCACTTTACAAAATAAAGGGAGACAGTATGAGTACAATACAATTGAAGATAAGAGTGTTAGGAGAGCCCTGTTCATGAAAGCTTACTGTCTAAAGGCAAGGACAGATGATTCAAAAAATATTAACTGTGGAGAGGATAAGTTGGTCGACAAAGTAAAATTCAGTTGTTTGGTAGAGACGACATAGGCGTCTCTGAAGAGATGAGTTTTCAGAGTAGGGGATTGTGGTATAGGTTGGGGTAGGGTATTCCAGAGGATGGGAGAGGCTCTGGAGAAATCCTGGAGGTGAGCATTGAAGGATCTGATAAGAAAGCTAGAGAGCAGGAGGTCCTGGGACGAAAAAAGAGGATGGTTTGGGTGATATTTTTAGATAAGGTTGGTGATGTAGCAGGGACAAAGTTGTGGATAGCCCATTGTTATTAACATTTTGAAACTTATTCATTGGGTGACCAGGAGCCAATGGAGGAATTGGCAGAGAGGGGCAGCAAACACAGGGCATATGGTAAGGTGGATGAGTCTAGGGCATATTTATAAAGTACAGCATTTAATCTGCAGCATTAATCTGCATCTACAGCACTTTATTCAGCAAGCATTCTCTGCAGGGGAATCTTTCAGGGTCATGTGTTTTAAATAGTGATTGATTCTCCCCCAGAGAATGATTGGTGAAAATCACATCCACTACTTCATAAATAGACCCCCCCATGAATCAGCAGGTTATGGATTATTATGTAACTGGAAATTGGAGGATGGAACACCATTGCATAACTCCTCTTTGGTTCTGTAACCACGTTTTAAAAGTCACCATTTTCTTACATTCTGCATTTATTTTCCTGGCTGTGTTTAAAATATTTTGCTTCATTACTGTAGATTCTTACAATCCCAGCTTTATCAGTTTTTGGACATCTGGCGGTCCAGATTGTGTTTTGTACCACTAACCCAAGCGTTGTGTGTTGTCTTTAGTGCTCAACAGATGGGCTAAGCAACTCATAGAGGTGGAAGAGTATTACAGCTCAGAAAAAGGATGTGAGCTTTTTAAATTGCAATGTACATAGAACAGCGAGAACTAGTGTACAATAATTCCAAAAAATCAGCTTTCTGTAGTTTCCCCACTATAAACTATAACATGTTGTTTTTGATTGGTTGCTACAGATTCATACTCCTGCTTTTTGCACTGTATTGTCAAATAATCTGATTACTGTAAGAAAAACCCAAAGGTGCCCTGTACACATTCTTACTGTCTGGGATTCCTGATTCCAAAGGATAGCAGATATCTACTCAGATACTATATTTACAGATAAGGGTCCCAAGCTCAGGTTAAAGCTGAATTGATCAGCCCAGTTTGTGTATGCATGATCACCTGAAAGGCAGAACTCAGAGGATAGTCAATTGCCATCGGACCACTGTAAGACCTGTGTTGACTTTTGTTCACATCAGTTGGGTTTTCACCCACATTAAAGTTTATGAGAATGCAAAATCCACTAGTAGAAGGTGAGCTGTGGGTCCAAACAACAAAAACAGCTGGGTAAATGAGCCTGTTATTGAATTCTGAATGCTCTCACAAACGTGTTAAACTGATGCCATCAACACGACCTAAAATCCCATTGACACAAGTCCTTAGGCATCTGAATCATATAGAGGGGTGGCGCAGATGTATTGTAGGCATCTTCATATCTAGCTTATCAAGGGGAAAAAGGCAACTGTACAAGGTTTTTTTATACTTGTCTCCCCTTACCAAGCCTAGGATGGCAGTATTTTCTGATATCTTCCCCATAGCCATTATATAGTACAGTGTTCATTTTAGATGATATGGTCTGCTAGTGATGACCACTAATGTATAGGATAGTACCATTGATTAAAGTTAAATGAAATACATATATTAGAGCAATTTTACATGTAAAAGGCTTGTATCATCCATCCAGTGCTGAGATTTATGCAGCTCTGACACACACAACAGCCCAGTCTGGCAGGGCAGGAGATCTGACTTTCCTCAGCATTTTATTAACACTTACAGGTCTTGTCCGTCCCCCAGACTGTGATGAGACAGTGAAAGGAGAAGGCGCACACTAATAAGCACATCTTGCATTTTCTCTCATTTCTCCTCCTATCAGCATGCTCCCTATACAGTCCTGCTATATTGTGTGTTGCAAGGCACATGCCAGGTCAAATTCTGGTACTTACACTGTATTTAAAAAAAATACATTTTTTGATACCTAGTTGAATTAATATGTACCTTTCTATATCTGCCTGGAGTTCAGTTTTAAAGTGGTTCTAAAATCTAAAGTTTTTTTTATCTTAATGCATTCTGTGTATTAAGGTAAAAAACTAAAATACACCCTCTGTCTTTCGTAGCCCGCATCAATAAACAATTATCTGTCTCCCGTCACCACTCCTGTACTGGTTCCTGCATCTCTCCCCCCACTTATTCCTTTCTGGGCAGTGGAGCCATAGGCTCCTGCAGCTTTCAGTCAAACTCCTGTGAAGGAGGGAGCAGGGACGTAGCTTAGCAGCGTTGTGTGTGCCTATGGACACACAAATCTCAGCTCGTGAGTGCGCACTCACAAGTACTTCCTGATCACCTATTTTGCTAAGGAGGCACCCGGAGCATAAAGAATCTGATAGCACTGGTGGGTTCTGCTAGAAGAGTAGAAGAGGGTGCTTTCTGTGCAATAATGTTATACAGAGCAGGTAAGTATAACCTCTTTTTGTTTTTTTGGTGGTTTTTTGATAGACTTTAGTACCACTTTAATATAAAGAGTGCATTAATACAGGTCCCTACAACAAGAAATATAGCTGGCACAAACAATAATTATTAGAGGGGAAAGCTCCAATCATGTGATTCTTGATACAAAACGATAAACATGGAAAAATCTGGGTTTCTTGCTGAAAGAGCAAAAAAAGAAGCAATTTTTTTTACATAATTTGTTCTTATTGCTGGAAAATAAGATTAAAGCACTATTTATGTCTTCTGCTTCCAGCAATAGAGACATACCCAGACATTGTCCTTCCGGCCAGCTGAGACCCTAATGTTTAAGGGGTAAATGAAAAAAAGAATAAAGTCAATTGATTAGTATACCTAAATGTTAAAATAAAACATAAAAATGTTATTCATGTTGTGCTCAGTACAGATTTTATTTGCAAGTCTCATGCGGAATGAACTGCTGAAATACAAGAACATATTTTTCAGCCATACCGTCTGCGCTGACCTAGATATTTTAGCCTTAGGTCAAAGTAGGTGCTGTGTGGGCAATGTTGAGTACTTAGCATTCTTTATATGAAGCGCAGAGGTCCTGGGCTTTACCCTCATCACAATGTCTGCATCGTGGTTGTACAATTTCCTCATGTCTACCTTGGTTTACTTGCAGTGCTGTGGTTTTCCCCAAAACAGGCTGGTATTCTAACTCAGGCTTCTGACCAAATTGGCTGTATGTTGTTGCAGGGACATCTGATTGTAAGCTTCTTCAGGACAGGGACTGAGGTGATAGTAAATTAAATAAAACATGTTCTAATATGTTTAGTTTTCTCCAATAAAACAAAGAGTAGTTTATAAGGAGCCACCAAGCAACCAATATCTTTGAAAAACAAAGCATATGTACCGCTAACCCGAAGGAGCCTCTGAGAATTAAATGGGTTCTCCTTATGTAGTACAGTGGTTGCCAGTCGCAAAAATAACAGTCCATCCACTCTGGCTAAATAAACAGTCTACGGAATGTCTTTTTAAGATTTATTGCTTGCAGAACTTTAACAGAAGAGGGATAAGTGGCAAGGGATACTCCAGAACACTTAAGAACAATTAGCAGAGGACACTCTTCTCTTAGTAAAGATGTAAAAGTCTAGCTCTCACAACTGGGAGCCATGAGGTAGTTTAGAGAACAGTCTATTTCCTCCTAGCTGGGGACCATGATATAGCTCCAGAATAGTTAAAGTCTCATAGTTGGGGATCATGAGATAGCTCCAGAATAGTTAAAGTCTCATAGTTGGGGATCATGAGATAGCTCTAGAATAGTTAAAGTGATTATAAAGGCTTAGTTTCTTTTTAAATAACAAACATGTCTATACCTACCTGCTCTGTGCAATGGTTTTGCAAAAGAGCAGCCCAGGTCCTCCTCTTCTTGGGTCACCTGCAAGCGCTCATAGCTCCTCCCTCCTGTCGGATTCCCCCACAGCAAGCAGCTTGCTATAGGGGCACCCGAGCATGCAGATGCCCCAGCTACTGCTCCATGTGTTCATTCACGCACGTAGCTGTGGCTTAGCCCCACCCCCTCATTCTTCTCATTGGCTCACTGGCTGTGATTGACAGCAGCAGGAACCCATGCATGAAGGTAAAAAACCTTGAGCCTTTACAGCCACTTTAAAGTCTGATATCTGGGGACCATGAGATAGCTCTAGAATATTTAAAGTCTCATAGCTGGGGACCATGAAATAGCTCCAGAATAAAGTCTCATAGCTGAGGACAATGAAAAAGCTCCAGAATAGTTAAAGTCTCTTAGCTTGGGGACCATGAGGAAGGTCTCTTGGATTACGCAGTTGTAGGGAGTCAGTCAGGGTCTCTGCTCACAAGTCCTAGAGCAGCTACATCTTCAGACTTGAGGATAGAGAAGGCCAGCATTCAGTCCAGAGATGCTTCAGGGGCAGATTTGTCCCTGGCAGGGAAGAAGACTATTTCCTCAAGGCCTTAGGCTATTTCTTACCTCACAGACCACCTTTTGGGCACACCTTCTCCAGGGATTGGCAAGGGCATAGTAAATATTCAGGCCAATCATTTGAAATTCCCACCCTAAGCTCTGGAAGCTTCTCCCAGAGACAGGGGGTAAACCATCGAACTCCCAACCTGTGAATCCAGGAGCAGACCAAGTCAATTGATTACTACTGCTCTGACTACAGAGCCAGCCAAAAATTAAATTTACCTAGCATCCCATACTAAGAGGGTGCTACACATAATATAGAGCTGGAGTTGTAACTGATAGGGTGATATTTAACTCTGATTGGGTGTGGTAGATACTGACCATAAAGGGCATCTATTATCTGGAAACAACTGTTTAGTGGTTTCATAATGGAATGGACAATGTAATATAGGGTTCAGGAACCATATGGAAAAATCCAGGAGGCAACATTTGTGTTTGAGGAAGCACAGAGGATATTCTTCATTTGACAACATCAGAAATGTGTAAATGAACCAGGCACCAGTTATAATTTCTTGCCTAGTGGGATCATTTACAGTATGTCAAATAATGTTTCATTTAACATTTCAATTAAATTGTAAGTTGGCATTTAGTTCATCCTTCTGAAAATGAAAGCAAAATATTTTTCGTAATCATATTTATTTGACATTTTGCCATGTGTGACCACAAGGCTGAGTTTGTTCCTGTTTCTGGCTCAGATTTCAGCAACCAGGAAAATGCAGTTTTCTGTGGAAAGTTTACATTGCAAGTCTTTTTCAGAAATACTCAAGTTCATATTGAAAGGCATGCTTATCTTTTTTATTGACCTCTCAGCAGATATGAGAAATGTGAATCACGAGGCATAACTTATTAACCATATTGCTTTCAGAAATACATATAGGGGAAGATTTACTAAAACTGGTGCACACACAATCTGGTGCAACTGTGCATGGTAACCAATCAGCTTCCAGGTTTTATTATCAAAGCTTAACTGAACAAGCTGAAGTTAGAAGTTGATTGGTTACCATGCTCAACTGCACCAGATCCTGTGTGCACCAGTTTTAGTGAATCCACTTCACATTTTATGCTCTGTAGTGCAGGACAATAAAAGGCAATCAGAAGTGAAAACATTACCTGAACCTTTTAGGAACTGTAGAGTCTCCTAGCATGGTTGTATTGTATGGTGGCTTGGCCCCAGAACTCAACATGAATATTTCAGTTAGCATGGCTTGCTGACTCCTGACCTTTCCCTCTGCAGAAACAAACCTTCGAAAAACATGCAAGCAGATCATGGATATGGTAACTGATGAACATCCATGGTTTGGCATGGAACAGGAATACACTTTGCTTGGAGTGGATGGACATCCCTTTGGCTGGCCTTCTAATGGTTTTCCAGGACCTCAAGGTAAGGTCATGTAAATATTTTCTTTTCAAATGTTTAATCTCTTCCCACTGATGTGGAACATATATGTGGCCTCTCGGCGGGTGCACTTTAATGCTGAGCGGCTGCATATATATGCATCTATTGCATTCAGTTATTGATGAAGATTGTCGATTAAAGTAGTGGAATAATACTTACCTCTGCCATCTGATTTTTGAACTACAGTAGAGGATTATAATAAGTGATCAGTTGATTCCTCACTGGGTTATGTGTCATATTTAGATGACATCTTTGGGCTGGATATACTGGGCTTTGCTTTCTCAAACAAAGAGCAGTTATGGAGCCTTTGGCAGCTAATGACCTGTCATTGTTCTCTGTTTTGGTTGGTATGGGTCATTGCATATTGGTGCTTTTTGCATTGTTTTATTATCGTTGCATGGAAAATGGAATTGCAGTGGTACAGTCCCATTAGAAATTTATAAGGGAAATATATAAAAACACACTGATAAGACACCCCATGACTAAGTACCTTGTGTCCTGGTTATGTAATATGTGATTTTATCAATCTCTGTCCTCATATCTAGCCTTCATACTGATGTCTGTGTGACTGAAGTCTAACTACATTTAAGATGCAGTAAAGTTACTATGCAGCAAGGAAATAAGTCCTCTCAATGCAGATTGAGGTTAAAGCGGTATTAAATTTAAAACCAAAAATGTAATATATCGCAGTTTACCAATCCTTACATGTGGTAAATGCAGTAGTTTTTCTTTTTTAGGCTTTTTTTCCCCTCTGTTTTTAACCTGGTGATCCGGCCAGTAACACACCTACTGTGTTGGAGTGCCCGCCAATCTGGATGAAAAAGCAACAGACATCTTTGCAGCATTGTCAGTCTGGGGAAGGGGAGTGTTAGATGCACTAGCAGATTTAGATACACTAAATAAATTGAAGCCAAACTCCCGGTATAACCTTTTAAGCAGTTACAGCAAGCATTTATAGAAATAGAATATCCACACAGGGTGATTACCGTGGGGATATATGCAACACTCCCAAGTGCCATGTCCTATTCAAACTATTTGGAGAAAAGAAGGGCTAGTTACAGCAAGCAGTTTGGGATAAAGGTTTTACATAAAAAAATCTGACCATTGTAAGCACCCTTGCCAATGTTAAATGGTTTGTCTCAACCCTCTAACTGCTACATATGTAGAACAGCTTGTTCTGTAAACAAAAACAGATTTACTGGGTGTGTCACCAGGTAATAAAATAAAAGAATGAAAACCTAAAAAAAAAAAAAAAAGGGAACCATTATTTCTAAGAATTGGTGAAATGAAATACAATAAATGTTTGTTTTTGGGTTTAATACCGCTTTAATCAAATATGGTAACTCCATAATTTAGTGTACCCAAAGAATGTAGGCCAAAAATGACATTAACAACTCTGGCATGGCAAGAAATAGAATATTATTCAAAGATGGTGTTTTTTATGTGAAAAGGTATTTAATGTAATTGCAATAGAAATGGTTGCAGCCGTCATTTTGTAGCAATTTGCAGTTCCTGCAGGAGGACAGTGATCTGTAGTTGACAAAATGGGTCCTCAATATTGTGTGCCATTTCCGTTAGTTGCTAACACTTTCTTAAAGTGGTTGTAAACCCTTCCATAGACTGGCCTCAGGTGATACACAGAGATTAAACAAATCCTCCTACATATGTTGTACCTGTTTATCTGCAGCCATCTTGCCTCTACATCTGTTCAAAGTCCCAAACTTACAAAGCTTGCCTGAGCCTTCATAAAATGGGGAGGAGAGCTGAAATTATGCATTGACGAGCTCAGTGAAGAGAGCTCCAAGAGGTGGTTGGAGGGAAGGTATGCCCCCCCTCCACACAGCACACCATTTTTCTCTTGGTGTCAGGAAAACTTGTCAGAAGTGATTCATGCTGATAGCAGAGGAATGAAGCAGCAGACAGGAATGACTAATTAAGACAAGTACCCACTATAGAGGGATATGCTTTACTCATATTTCATGTCTGAGGTTTACAACCACTTTAAAACAACAAAAACTTATGTAGTAATTGTGGACTGCCAGTACAGTTTAGCCTAGTTGTTTTGTTCAGATATAATTATACTGTCAGATATGTTTTGTACATCCTGACATATACATTAAATTTAGGCATATTTAAAAAAAAAATCTGTGTTAAAGTGTTGTAAACAAGTAGTTATGTAATTTATAATTGCCATTTGAGCAGCTGTCTGGAAGAAACTTTCCACTATTCCATCAGGATGATTCAGTTTAATGAGCAATGCCCATGCTATGGTCTTCTTTTCTTTGCACATTGACTTTTACTTTATTAAGCTACTGTGCTCCCTGACCCTAAATCCTTCCATATTTCTTTAGGTCCCTATTACTGTGGAGTCGGGGCAGACAAAGCCTATGGACGGGATGTGGTGGAGGCTCATTATCGGGCATGTCTGTATGCCGGTGTGAAGATTGCAGGAACAAATGCAGAAGTGATGCCAGCACAGGTGAGACCATCAGAGTGTTTGGACTCCATAGACCCAAGTTCACAGCTGTATTCCCTGTTTTGGATGTGCAGTGGAAATGGGAGATATAACCCCTGAGGGGAGCTAACAAAGAGTTTGATTTTATCAACATATTCTTAATAAGAATGATTTCCCTTCGGCAAACAAAGTCAGATTTTCAGGGGAGGTCTAAACCTGGTTGGTGGTTTAGGAAAAGTAACTTCAGTCCTTTATAAGAACAGGATGATACATAAGGCCAAAACCTTTAGGTTCCCTTATTATGAATGTTGATTGGCAATAAAAAAAATCTTTAAAATTCCACAAAGCAAACACAAATTATGTTGCATGTATTTTATGAAAGGAATATGTATATATATATATATATATATATATATATATATATATATATATATATATATATATCCATAAGTTCCCATACCTGTACTTAAATTGGGGCACGAAATATGAACAAAGCATGTCCATCTGTTGTGTGTAATTGTCCCAGAGCACTAAGTGCCATTTCTGTCTGTTGCCTCGTTCCTCTCCTATGAGCATGAGTCACTTCTGACAAGTTTTCCTGACACCAAGAGAAAATGGTGACAGGGGAGGGACCTCCAGAACATAGCCTGTGACTGCCAGCCTCAGCTCTGTTCTTGTGTGTGTGTGTGGGGGGGGGGGTGTCCATTAATGTGTTCTGCAGGACTTTTCGCATTGCGAAAAATTTGAAAACTGAAACACAGTTTCCCATAGACATGCATTGAAAACCAATTAATCTGTTCCGGGGGTCAGAAAAAAGTAAAAAAAAATCTTATCTGTTCAAAGCTCTTTATGAAGTGCACTTTAAAGGCATAGTACTGTACAGGGACATGATTAAAAATGAATTCGTAAATGCATTGAAAACCAATTAATCCGTGTCGGAGGTCAGAAAAAAGTAAAAAATGTATTATCTGTTCAAAACTCTTTATAAAGTGCACTTTAAAGGCATAAATACTGTACAGGGACATGATTTAAAAATGAATTTGTAAATGCATTGAAAACAAATTAATCCGTGCCGGAGGTCAGAAAAAAGTAAAAAAATGTCTTATCTGTTCAAAACTCTTTATAGAGTGCACTTTAAAGTCATAAATACTGTACAGGGACATGATTAAAAAAATATTTGTAAATGCATTGAAAACAAATTAATCCGTTCCGGAGGTTAGAAAAAAGTCAAAGGTCTTATCTGTTCAAAACTCTTTATAAAGTGCACTTTAAAGGCATAGTACTGTAAAGGGACATGATTAAAAAAAAATGTGTAAATGCATTGAAAACCAATTAATCCGTTGGTATTGCAAAACGAATTCGTAAACCGAAGCATTATTTTCAATGGATTTTCATTCATAAACCGAAAATTAAGTTAACCGAGGCATTCGTAAACCGAGGTACGCCTGTAATATCAAATGCCTATAAACGTAATAATGAAACCTTTGCTTTATTTACAGTGGGAGTACCAGGTCGGCCCATGTGAAGGAATCGACATGGGAGACCATCTGTGGATTTCTCGCTTTATTCTGCATCGAGTCTGTGAAGACTTTGGAATCATAGTTTCATTTGACCCTAAACCTATTACAGGAAACTGGAATGGAGCTGGTTGCCATACCAACTACAGCACAAAGAAAATGCGAGAGGATGGAGGCCTCAAGTAAGTAAAGCCATTGTAAATGAGGGTGTATGAATAAAGTAGCTTGAGCTAGATTGAAATGAATTATAAATGGTAAAATAGGAAACGGAGATGTGTATTTAGGGCTAAATTAATTTGTAGCTTTGTGACAAGTATCAGTATTGCTCCCTATAGTCATAAAACAGTTGTTATATGTTTTAGCCAGTACTAGAAAAATGACATTTGGATTGCATTAAAGGATAGGTTCAGCTTTAGGGACATGTTACATGTTACACATGTGTTTAGGCTGTAACATATTCCTAAGCACCCACGTCCCACCACCTGAACCCCTCTTTCCCCTGTGACAACATGCAACATTTAAAGTCAGCGCAGTTGTGCTGGGCTCCGGTACGGGCAGAGTTCGAGGAAATGTCTACAGGAGCATGGCACTTTACCTACAATCCAGTGATCATGAGTGCAATGCTTTGCAGGTTCCTTCGGGAAAAAAATTATAAATGCACATTTTTTTTTTTCCAGCAAAAATTTGTGCATGTATTAATTTTTATTCTAAAAGGTGAGCTTAAACTTTAAGATGCATTGCTTCATTAGATGGCATATTATGCAAGCAGTGTAAACAGCAAAACAAATATGTAAAGAACAATATTTCACAGCAGTCAATCAGAATTTAACTAAATCCAGATTAATTCAGGGTATTGCATTTTGCACTTAAAGTGACTTTAAAGGTATTTTTTTTTAAAATAACAAACATGTTATACTTACCTGCTCTGTGCAATGGTTTTGCACAGAGTAGCCCCAATCCTACTCTTCTGGGGTCCCTTAGCTCCTCCCCCTCTGCTGAGTGCCGCCACAGAAAGCTGTACATGCTCCCTCCCAAGCCAGCTCTGTGTCCAAAAGACATACAGAGCATGGCTCAACCCCACTGCCTTCTCCTTCCTCACTGGCTGTGATTGACAGGGTCAGGAGCCAGTGGCTCCTGCTGCTGTGTCTGAGCCAATGAGGAGGGAGGGAGCCGGGAGAGATGTTGCTCTTGTGTACACTGCTGGATGGAGATCAGGCTCAGGTAAGTATTGGGGGGCAGGAGGGGGAGCTGCATGCTGAAAGTTTTTTACTTTCATGCATAGAATTCATGAAGATAAATAACCTCCAGCCTTTAGAACTACTTTAACTCTTTGTGCCTTGAAGCATTTTATCAAATAAGCCTGTTTGTTCCAGGTAGTAGTTGACACGCCATGGCATTGTTTCTGCTTTTGTGTAGCAAAGATGCAGGTTTTTCCTGTACAATATGCACAGCAACAGAAAGCAACTGAGGGGATATTGGTGAGAATTTGGCTTTATGTTAGCTGTAAAGGGTTCCTTTTTATATTAGAACTAATTGTATTGAATATAATTTATGATACAACACAAGGAAATGAAAGAAGGTCAGACATAACTGTTACATCTACCATGCGGTGTTATTTCACATAAAACCACTTTGATGGAAGCAGCAACATATCTTGTGGGAACTATCAACTTGCAGTAGGGCCTGTGTTGATTGGCTTCTGGCTTGTGTCTGATGGCATTGGTTTGACATGCCTATGAGATCATTTAAGATTCATTGATAGGTGCATTAGACCTGCTGTTGATCTCTTTCTAAACCTGCATTTCACCTGCTTCAAGCAGAATTTGCACCCTCATAGACCGGAATAAAAAAATGCAAAACCTGTCTGATGTGAACAAAAGCCTGTCGTGGCAGACACTTACATTGACTGTGTTGTACATAGTAACCAGTAAGACTTTCACAAAACAGAGTCTCAAAGCCAACTGACCATTACACTGACATGAGTCAGTGTTTAGTGAGCAGCACATGGACGCTATGCTGAAATTTATAGACTCAGAAAGTGTTAAATATAAAGGACACATTTCAATTCTTTATGCCTCTCTTACAGGTATATTGAAGATGCCATTGACTGCCTTAGTAAGCGTCATTGTTACCACATTCGGATCTACGACCCCAAAGGAGGATCAGACAACGCACGTCGCTTAACCGGCCACCATGAAACCTCCGACATCCATTCATTCTCTGCAGGAGTGGCAAACCGCTCTGCAAGTATCCGTATTCCACGTCAGGTTGGGCAAGATCAGAAGGGATATTTGGAGGACCGCCGTCCATCGGCCAACTGTGACCCCTACGCTGTGACAGAAGCCTTGATTCGGACCACCATTCTGAAAGAAACTGGAGACGAGCCTGTGGACTATAAAAACTAAAGGAAGAAATAGGCAACGATCAAACCTTCTTTATTAGCTGGTTCTGTTTCTCGTCTCTACACCTATGCCTAAGTCATGTCTAACTCCGTATCCTGAGATCATGTAGACATATTTAGTAAAGGGGGTAGAGTAGGATGTGGGATTCTTATCAATTCTTTATAGTCTGATTCTGTTATGAACTACCTCAGTTCATTCTTAAGACTTTAATCTTTGAAAGAAATGGTTTAAAAAGATAGGTTGACTGAAAAACAAATGCATAGCAGGTACTTATGCCTAAAATACTTCTGCCTTTTGGTCCTTCCAAAGTTGATATGAATCAGACATAAGAAACAGGACTGGCCCTATCTATTTCCTGCCAGTGGGGCCAAGACTATAAAGATAGTCAATACAAAACGAAGTGTAGAGTAGAAGCACCACCAGCTTGAAAAGGCTTTTACTGATCAAACTGATACACATCCTAATGGGCCATGCCCTGTGTTAGGATCAACTTTTAAGTTTGATCCAACTCAATGTCTATAAAAAAAAAAACACTACTCAAGACTAGGCTTAAATCAAAGAATCTCTGGTCTTACTAGTCTAATTGATAAAACAGAGCAAAGTTTAGTAATCTATTGGCACCAATTAAATTTTAGTTTTCTGTAATTAGACCAGTGAAAGTTTAATCTGCTCTTGGTATTTTCAGAATAAACCCATTGTTGACTTTGTTTATAAGGCATGCAAGGTGTAGAAATTCATACCAACCAATCAGACTTCCATTTACTGTAGTCAGATTAGTGAAAAGATTGCTTCTGATTGGTTGATATGTGTCACTGCTCTTTGCACATAATTGATGCTGTTGACTTTGGCTTTTTGAATAAGCCCATTTTGTCCCTTAAGGTACAAAAAGATGATAGGGGAAAAGAAAACAAGATGGAGCCTAGTGAACAACTGAACTTCGCCTCACTGTGCTCCATGATAACCACTGATTATAAAGAGGGGCATATCCTTTTACCCCTAAACTTCAACCAGGTAGTCAGTTATTTGACATGTTCTAGGCGTATCCTGTTTTCCTGTGTAATATATACATATAGAGCAGGATATGGTCTGATCCTTCAAGTGACCCCAGGGTCATTGTATCTGTCTAGATGTCTTTGAGGCTGTTTTTTACATGGATGTCCTCTATCTTAGTAATGTTGTTATTTGGGTCCATTGGTGTAATATTTTTCTATTTACATGTAATTTTAATCTACAGAGATGGAGAGAGGATGATCAGGAGATCTTTCATATCTATAGTATCTGTCAAGGTGTTTGGAATATAATATAGTAATAATAATATAAAACTGTCAAGGTTTATTTCGGTGCTAAATAGAATTGTGGGGGAGAGTAATACAAATATTATAGAACGCTTAAATAAGTAAGGCATCTCAGTGAGAAATAGAGTGGTGGTCATCTCTAAACCTTGATAGATCAGTGTTCTGGAATCATTATTGGACTAACTAATGAAGAGTCCTGCTAAAAATTAACTTGAAGACTGTCTTGACATGGATCATGTCTAGAGGATAGCATGAACTTTTTGTCCATTGGCATTCAGAATGGAAACAGGACATAAGCACCAACCTGTGATGTTTGCAATCCAATTTTGTGCATTTTATTTGTCAGCCGAACTTTTATTGTCCTGTTTTCTTTTGTATAAGGGATCTAACTTTTTTCGAATTTGTGATACTTGTATGTCAGTTTCACATTGTACAATGATGGATCATGTTTCGATGTACTAAGAAACGCATCCAAAGGTTTTGGAGTGGTAAGAGCTGGGCTAATATTTAATCTTTGCTCTTATGTTATGTATAGTAGGTCACTACCTAATGTGCACTGATTAACTTCTGTACCAGCAAATTATTATACTCAGTGCTCTGCGAAGAAAAAGAAGAGTTTTATTTTTTCCCCCGTGAATCTCAGAATTTCTACGATTTATACGCACACACAGAAGAAACCACTTGCTCGTCATTTGTGAATGGGTCTCAGGTGTTAATGGCAGGGTAGAATTTACTGCTTCTGACTCGCATCTCATTCTGACATAGTCTGGTTTTTAAAATAGATTTTGTTTTTTTCTTTTTTGTAATAAAAAAAACTAAATCTGAATAAGTATTCTGTGCATTTATTGGTTTGTTTTTTTAATTAATTATTTAAGAAAGTTAAAGCGATAACAGAATGCAGATGACATACATACATATACTGTACTGGAGCTGTTTTACTTGCCGAAGGATTTGTATTTCTGTCCATCCTGTATTAATACAGTTTAGGCACTCATTACAACCCTGCCTGGAAGGGCAGCAGACCTACAGGTCTTGTCCCTCCCCCACTTTGTGACTGTACAGTGAAAGGAGAAGCAGCAGACTGACCAGCGCACTTCTGCCACTCTGCTTTAATATCCTATCAGCATGTTCCATTTTGGCACATGAGCAATGCAGCACAACCAATTGTTTTCTCGTGCTGCTTCTCCCTCTCCCAGTTTGAGCTCTGCTGTATAGGGCAGGGGTCTCCAAACTTTCTAAACAAAGGGTCAGTTGATTTTTTTTTTAGACTCTAGGGGGACAGTGAGAGTAGACAATATCCTTGCTTCAGTGGGAGTAAACAATGCCCTGTTGTTGGTGTCAGTGGGAGGAATTGCGCCCCATCGCTGGTGTCAGTAGGAGGAATTGCGCCCCATCGCTGGTGTCAGTAGGAGGAATAGTGGCCCATCGCTGGTGTCAGTTGAAGGAGTAGTGCTACATTGTTGGTATAAGTTGGAGGAGTAGTGCTACATTGTTGTGTAAGTAGGAAGAATACTGTGTAAGAAGGAAGAATACTGCCCCGTTGTTGGTACCAGTGGAAGGAATAGTGCCCCATTATTGGTGTCAGTGGGAAGAATAGTTACCCATTATTGGTATCAGTGGGAGAAATAGTGCCCCATTGTTGGTGTCAGTGGGAAGAATAGTACCTCATTGTTGGTGGCAGTGGGAGGAACAGAGATCCTATCATTGGTCTCGGTGGGAGGAATAGTACCCCAAGGTCCACATCCAGCCCTAAGGCCACAATTTGGAGACCACTGGTATAGGGGATTGCAAGATGTTGATACCAAGTCCAATTTTAATTACTAACACCACTTGCATTTAAAAATACGTTAATTGTATTACTGAATACAGAGCTGCACTTATTTGCATTCAGCCATTGTGAGCAGCAGTAGAATACAGGTATCTTAACGAAGTATAAAATAAATACAGGTCACTTCATAAAGTATCCATTTTTATGAACAGTATATAAGAAAGCTAAAAACATTTTTTTTCAAATAAGTTCCTCTAAGTTCTCTGTTTTTCATATCATTAGAAGTAAAACATACTGCACTATTATAAGATGGCTATGCTTTATTATCAGTGGTCTAACAACCTCCAGCCCACATGCCCACCATGCATCTTTTTGTGATTTCAATGGTCCCTTCTCTACTGTCCAATATACCTTTAAATGCCTGTATGTATTGAAGCAACCACTGCTTTCATATATTTCTTGTTGCCTCTGTAGTACTATCTCCTAGTTGGAGTTCCTGTCTCTATTAAATTACTTCTCCAGTAAACACAACCATTTTGTTATTAGAGAAAAAGCTTACTGATTAAAGAAGACCTGTGGTTTTAACAATCATTCACGTGTAAAATAATTCAAAAAGTTAAGGTGTGTGGTCATGCTTCCACCTCCTGCCATGTACAGTGTAAAGCGACCCTTACCCATAATAACAGGCAAGACTAAATACAGGGATCCTAGCTCGGAGACATAAAAAGGCTGGTGAATCGTTAAGCCCCTCAGTGCTCAAAATAACTGAAATATTACTTCCAAATGAACTTCTTCTAATGGCCCATTCACACTGTTGTAATGCTTTAGTGGACGGGTGTTGTGGTAATACTAAAGCAAGTGCACTGTCTCTTTAAATAAAAAAAACAAGTAAATGACAAATTCATAGATAAGTGCAAATGAACAAATATAAACACTTCTAACACAAAAAATATGTGAAAAAATTAATATACTATTCATATACACTAATAGTCCATTCTGGATCAATAGTGACAAAGTGCCCAGTGCTTGTAAACTTCCACGCAAGGGTGCTCCAGTGCTCAAGGTGCGCCTTAGAGAAAAAGAGGAGCCTCTTACCAAATCAAAATGATCTTGAGTTACAGAGATCAAAAGCGCTCAGTCTCCAAATCAAAGGATGGCACTCTCACTGTCAAGCCCTCGGATGGATAAAAACCTCATCGATTGAGTATGTTGACAAATCCCGACATCCAAATGTCGCTCATCGAAATAGCATGTACAGAGCACAAATAGAGAGAAGCCTCATAATGCAATACATTAAAAAAAAAGTTATGCACTTATACTTTATATGCTGATAAGAACAAGCAATGTAATATAAAAACCAACCAATGTCAGACACTATTCAATGACGTCACATTCAGACTCCGCCCGACGCGTTTCTCCGAGACTGGTGTCCTCTGGCATTGAAGATCAGTGTGTGACATCAGCAACATACATTTAAAGTGGAAAAGAGCAGAAGCGATACACAAACATATACCACCACAAGATGACAATTAAAAAACTGGCAAACACAAACTATTAATCCCCTAATGTGTTGTATTAAGGCAGTCCCTTCATTTGATTGGGTTGCCTAACACATCAAAAAAGTTGCATGTAGCACATTTGGCAGTACAAGCACCCTAGTGTGTTGCTGCACATTGCACTGCACTGCAATCCACCTCCATCAGCAAGGAGTGTTGGGGTGGCATTCAAAATGAAGGAACCTCATTACTCAAACATAATTAATGTGCATTCCAAGCGTGTTACTGCAGTGCAATACCATGAATAGACCCTAAATTGTGAGCTGTATATCAGTGGTTCTCAGTCTTATTGAGCCCAGGGCCCAATAAATTATCTCAAAACCTTCCATGCCCCAACGGTTTAATCAAAAGTTTATAATAAAAGTATTGGAATGGAAAATATGA